CGTGAAGTTGTCGCATTGCTGTAATTCACGTGCTACGTTCTTAAAATAGTTTAGTGGGCACATACAAATAAGACACGACATCACAGATGACATCAAAATGTGGTAAGAACAAGAACAGTGTGTCACTAAATGTTCTCTCCATATTTTGACATCTTCTGTTACCTCTTACTGAACAGACCCTTGGCAGGTTGGAATGTATTTGTTTTAAATATAATAAAAAAATTTAAAAAAAAATTGTTAATGGTGATGTCATCTGGACTGCATTTATCCACCAATGGATTATATGTACCAGTAAGCACCAATCAAAATGCCTGTGCGATTCTTGAAGATGATGCATTTCATTTTTGTTTATTATTCAGATATATTTTTAAGAACCAAAAGAAGGCAGGACTGCAAGAATTGGGCCCCAGATTTACACTTAAGCTTCGCTCTTTACAACGAGGAGCTTTTGATTCCAAGTTTGGAGAATATGAATGGATTCATAAGGTTTGTGCACAGCCAGTTGAATTCCAGTCAGAGCATAAAAAAGAATCTTGATGTGATTTGAAGATGAAAACTAGGAAGTTTAAGATAGCTCTTTCAAAGAAGTGAAAGAAAAAAAATGGTCAAATGGAAAAACAGATATTGATAGGTTCAGTCTGGGTAGAACATCCTAATGGCATTCTGATCGCTATTCTTCTCATGAAAGTGATGTATTTTTTGTATGCAGGGTTGGTAAAGTGAATTTTTAAGTGGCTGAATGATCAGGGTGTTTTTGTGTTGGAGCTAATCTTGAAAGAAAAACGAACTGTACCAAAATAATACAACTAATAACCTTAAAAGAGAATTTATTTACAAGAATTAGTAATTCTTTTTCCTTATCACTCAAGAGCTTCATGATTTTATGTATCTTTCTGTTTTGCAGAGAAAAGAGATGGATACAAGCCGCAAGAAGTTCTTTCTTTAATCTTATTAGACTGTGTAGAATAATTTGTCAGTGTTACAATTTTTGATACTTTATTCCTCTTTGGAACTTACCAGTAGTCTCTGTATGGAACCTCTATCTCTCTTTGGGACTCAGGAATTTCTTTTCCTAACCCTTTACACCATTGATCAGTATGCATATTCTCCATACTGTTCTCTATACATTCCCTGAGGTGCTGACAAGGAGAATTTGTGTGACAATCAAGAAATTCTTTACTTGGTGATCATTTCCTTAATTCTTGTGACCTTGATGTTTGAGGTGATATTGTAAGGAGAAATTGGATGTTAGTCATTCTTAGGGGGGGGGAAAGGGTCAAGGGAACCTACTAGCGAGGGGAGACTATTTTGGTAACCAATAAGGCTGCCACACATGTCACTCAGACCTTTAAGAAATATTACAAAATACCAATTTGAGTGGACTTGAACTGGGAATATCTGGTTGTAGAACCACAGGGCTCGACACTAACTTTTCAACTTACTAGCCAAGTGGCTAGTGACATCTTAGATGTTTTAAGATGTTACAACAATTTCAGTCTGTTTACTAGCCAAACTGGCGAGTGGAAATTGAAAACCACTAGCCAAAACTGAATTTCTACTAGTCTGTGGCTAGTGGGCTACCGTTAGTGTAGAGCCCTGGAGCCATCCTGAGACTATTCCGTGCTTAAAGTTGCCGTGTCTAAATGAAAAGATTATTATTGATTATGATATAATGAACATGGTGCACATTGTTTGATTGGTCAATTCAGTTTCTAAGTGGATGGTTTATTTAATTTATGTCTTCAGTTACCTTGTGAAATATTTTACAGATCATTATTTAAGTTTTATAGTAAATGAAATGAATGTGACAAATCACTATTTGGTCTGCAAGTTGTCCATGTGACTGGAAACTGCTTTTCCAACAACAACTATTAAACTTGATAAATTTATTATAAACTCACTCTGTTTGTTTGTGTTTATGGCTTTGAACTGGTCTCCATTTGCTAGAAGGATCAGCAAATGGAGAAACTTGCATGGGAAATGATTTATGCTGTTCAGATTCTTTGGTTTTGTGCATTTTAACACCTAGAAGAAGGGGTATTGGGATTTTTCAGTTTTGTGGTTTTGGCTACTTTTTAGATCAGCTTTCGGTTTTTGTGCCAAAAACAATTGGTATTTTGGTTTTGGTAATCATTGTGGTTTACAGATTGTCCTTTTTTTAGCATTTGGTTTTTGGTTTGGTCAGAAATACCAATGGGTTGGGATTTGATTTCAGTTTTTCCTTTTTGGGTTCTGGTTTCTCTTTGATCTGAGCAGCAATTTATGATTTGCCTCTACTGTTCTCAAATAGCTGCAAAACCTCTGTAAGCTCTATTTGTCTCTGCTGTATCAGCAATTAATTTCAAAGTTTTGCATGCAGTTTTTGGTTTTGATCGAATTTTTTTGCAGTTTTAGTTGTATTGTGTGACATTTAGTAAGATAAGTGACCTGCGTTATGTGATTTTGTTTCTCGTGATTTCAATGTAGACAGTAGAATCAATTAATCGGTCCATATATCATCGTTGTCTAGGACATCAGTGATAAAAAGAAAACCGACCAAGAAATATTATAAAATTCTTCTATCAACGTGATCAGTGATTACAGTAACTAAGGGAAAATAGTAAAAATAAAATAGTGAAGTTTGCGAAGAACAGTGTGGTGTTTTTGGCAATCGCAACACCTTCCCTTTTCACCAGGAATATAAGGCGTGGATGTCGGTCAACGTATAGCAAAATAATTATCTCATAGTGGGGAGTTCACAAATATCTCAAGTTCCATAAGCAGTAATCTATAACAACAGCTGGTTCTCCAATGCGATGAAAACACCAAAAGGGGGGAGCTAGAGCTATATGGATTAATCTTCAAATCGATTCCTTGTAACTAGCAGAGTGTAACTAATGAAACCTAAGGAAAATGTGATCAATTCCCTGAAATGACCCTCGTTTCTTGGTTCCTTCACGACTCGTTTGATCACTTTGTCTGTGGTAACTTAATGTTCTGCCAGTCCATGTTTCGGCTTCCTTTGTCTACCATTGTCCATTCTTATTTTGCCTTGAAACCCTCACAGATCATGATGTGATTTAAAAGTAACTCCTTGCAGTTTTATCAACCTCCTTGACCAAAACACCAAGCATTATATTTTGACGGGAATAGGCAATCTCTCTGTTTTTTTTGTTTCTTTTCTTTTCTGCTAAAAATTTTTCCCCAAACTCTAGTCCCCAGGATCTTTCCGTTGGTGGGAAATGGGTGGGAAATGGGTCGGAAATGGCGGAAGTAATTCTACACAAGTCCCATCATACTTAGCAAATTATTGTTGGCCTTGTTGTGAAGGTTAAGACTACTCAAACGACGTAGTTCCGCTTCTGCAAAGGTACGTTTCGTATCCTAATGTTCCGAAAGTTCTACTAATTCATTTAAAATATTTTACGACTAAATTTACTCTGCTTTCAGTTTGGAAATGGGAAATTATTCAAGGCAGAATGCAAGCGAGGGCTACTATCAGAAGAATTGTTTGCATCTAACACGGTAAGATTTGTGCGCATATTTGACTTTAATTTTTAGTTTTATGCTAAATGTGGCGCCATAAGGCCGAGTGAGATTCCACAGATACTCTCTTGGACTAATTCTTTGGACAATGCCTGGAAAAACTGTACGCCATTTTGAATTAACTATGGCAAGAGCTAAGCCCGCACGTGTATTTTAATATTTTACCTTAAGCCTTTGCTCAAGTAAAAACATAGGCATGCTACACATGCAGGAGTTGTTTTATTTTTGGATATGTGGTTTGAAATGGGACACTAAGCAACTGATGCTGGTGTCTGAATAATTGTTGGCAAAAATAAACTGCGGCAAGAGTAGCATATAACCCCATACATTAATTATGCATTCAGACTGGCTAGTAGACTTTGTTTTTAAAGTTTTGTCGTGAATGACAAAGAAGTGGAATGCATAATTAATGTATGGGGTACTCTTTCCATAAACTGCATTGATACCATGCTTCCTGCAGTCCCCTCCACAGCCTTATTCGAACTTGTCATGCAACGCTCTCTCTCCAACGTTGCATTACGTGACCAAACAGTGACCTGCTCGTGGGCTACAATAATGCTCACTGCTGCCTCTTCAATTTGTCAGAGACAAAGTCGTAATTTATTGTTCTGGCTGTAAAGGGCCAGAATCAGTAATTCTGTTTGGTTTTTCCTGTGTAGGAAAATGCACAACAGGTGTTACGTAGCACTTTTTAATTGGCTTTAAGCATTGTGGTGGCCTAGGAACAAGGCTAAGTTTTGGTATCGAGTATCAGTCAGGCTTAAAGTGCTGGGCCGATAACCTAGCTTGTTACAGTTTGTACTCATCTTTCGAGTGAACTTAAATATATTTAATTAAAGCGCAAACCTGATACTGTGAATCACTTCTATTGTTAACATACTGATGAAAACAACAACCCTTGGGAACAGTAAAAGTTCACTGGCTGATTAATTAAATTTGATTAATTAATACAATTCTCTTACGTAAACATTGGCGATTGAATCCGTCAGTAGATTAAAATAATGGACAAGACAACTATACTTTTCTAGCAAAAAAAAAAAAACTTGTGGAAGTCACTGCCACATACCTTTAATTTCAATCAGTCAAAAAACTTTTGGTCGATAAAATGCATTCTGTGATATATTGTTCCGAGGCGAAAAAAACTTAAGAGGTTTGTTATTAGATGTAAGTAGGACAAATCCTTATAAACAAAGTCATCACGTTCAAATGCAAATTTTTATTGAGCACCCCCGCATTTCCTCTAGCACTTTTAGTATTTCTAAATTGTCATGGATGACATTAGTCTCCTTTGCAGCCGTTGTTTGGGCTCGTCACGCAATGCTCCCTCCCCCACCAACCGGCTGCTTAAACCTGAGCCACATTCCTTTCCCTTTGTTTAGATATAACGGTGACTGCACGTGATAATGCACGTTTGCACCAATCACACGTCACCTTTGGTTTCACGATAAAACCAATCAAATTTCGATGACGTAAGTTTCCCTCGTAAATTCATCGGCACTTTCTGGAGAAGTTGCCAGTCATCTCAGAAATTTCCCATGGATTTAACTCCGAAGAAATTGGTAGAAAGTAGTTCAAGATGCTTCGTTTGTTCCTTGATTTCACTCACAAAGGATAAAATTTACATTTTCAGTAAAAGTTCATTTGATGTTGCTGAACTAATTAGTTCTTTGCTCACTGTTGATGTGCATCGCTACACAGAGAACAACAAATTGTTTGTTTGTAGAGACAAATGCTACCAGGTTTTTTTTATAAAGTTTAAGAAGGCATCGGATAACTGAAAGAAATCAAGAAAGAAATAGAAGAGGTCTTCAATACAAGAAAAAAACCCAGGGCAAAGAGACTGCTGCAAACAGACCAGGAGAATAATGTTGGTGAACAAGAGCTCTTTGACAGGAATAATGTCGGTGAACAAGAGCTCTTTGACAGGAATAATGTCGGTGAACAAGAGCTCTTTGACAGGATTCTGAACGCGATAACACCTACACGAGGAAAAGCATCGAAGTCGCTACGATTTTCTGATATCACTTGTACTAATGTTTACCACGCTGACTCCAATACTTTGCAGGTAATTGACCTGATCCTCCATAAGACTTAGGAGCGGAGAAACAATAACAACAATATGCCCAGCAAGATTGTTGATGTGATTGCACACGAGTGGAAGAACCTGTTAAATCAAGGATTTTCCAAACCCTGTAGGCAAGTTTACCAATACATCTTTTTTTTTGCAACAGAATTTTCTCAATTGTCAGCTTCTGGTGATCATTTAAACTTGGAATTTTGAATTTAGAAGCGGTTGAAACAAAAGCTTCTTCGAGAGAGGCCATTTTCTCTGCTCAATGAGCCGCTGATAGAACATGAGTTTTGATTGGACGACTAATCTTGGCAGGACTTACTCAGAATTATATGAGGGAAATCGTGATTGGCTAAAACCAGGGAAAGGAATGCGGCTCTGGTTTAAGCAGCCAGCTGTGAAGGAGACTAGGATGACATCAAATTGTTCCAAAGTCTTAATCTCCATAAACTCTCCATGTTAACAAACAATGAAAAGTACTCGACGATGATTTTGCTAAAACAGCAAAGCCTTCAATTACAACCAATTCAATTGAATCTGCTGAACAGCAAATCTGGCCAGAGTATAGGCTCTGTGGCCTCTTGTTCAGTAACAGATAGTTAGCCCAAAATATTATTCCATATAATTTTGCAGTAGAAAGCTCTATTTTATCTCTAACAGCCTCTGGACAAAGATATTTTCTGGTCTCTGTTCTTCAAACAAGTGAAAATAGATTGAACGAAGAGAAAATTATCATTTTTCAAAGCATAACAACATGGGCTTCTTATTGGTTGTTGCCTATTTGGACTTTGCCCTGTGCATGCGAAATACGTGATAAAATGTGGGTTGTTTACAGGAAATTGACATGCAGTGGGGTAAAGTCCAAGGTAGCTAAAAGCTAATTTTATTGGTAGAAAATGTCTAACCATGTGAGAGTTGCATGGAAAATTGACTAACTGTACCATTATGTTCCTTGTGAAATATTTTTCAGTGAAGTAGTATTATGTCATAAAATTTATTTTGTTAACTGGAAAATGGCATTTCATCTGAGAAAGTCTGGTCCATACTGGCGAGTAAAAAGTAAACACACAATTGTTGCAGGAAAGTATTGTCTAGTAAACAATATTTAAGTCGGGGAGAACTTGTAGAAGCAAAGAAACAGATATTTTTCAATGCAGAAAGTAATTATAACTTGGTGGTCTTTTCAACCTTTGCAAAAAGAGCAGCCACAAGGCAAAAAACAAGTTTATCAATCAAATATGATTTATGCAAATGCCTTGTGCAAGTTTTACTAGAGTCAGCGAAACTATAGCCTTTCCAAAACAACACACTCTGATGCTAAATTTGTGTTATGCTTTTAGCTGACAGTGTGTGTGTTATAAGTGAAGGAGCGGTACACAAAATATGCACGTGTTAACTTGCAATTGGTAGAAAAAGTTCCCTGATGACCTTTCTAATCCCAACAGATCATAGTGATAAAGTCCTCAAGATGGACAGCCATTACACTGGGTAGATGAATCACAATACTTGTAGATGTCATTCTTATCTTGTTCTTTAAGTGAATTCAAAATGGAATTCATATTTAGCATTGAAATATCCCTCATTCAAGAAAACGAAATAAAGTAAGCGTGGGACTGCATCAACACTAGGTAAACTTCCCCTTTCCTTTAATTATTCTTCTACTTCAAAAGCACAAGATTATGGGAGCACTAGTTTAACGGCCCTCTTGTTATATCATTCTTTGGCTTCGTGAGTGTGGGACTGCAGATGCACTGGTTTAACTGCCATAACATTTCATTATTCTTTGACTTCTTGAAAACTTGAATACGGGACCTCAGGTTTAAATGTCCTCTCTTTCAATATTATTTTTTGACATCAAGATCAGAGGAGCAGTCCAGTCATAACAGTCAACAGTGGTGGGTATTCTGAAGTTGCTCCCATTAACATCTCAAATATTTGATTCAAAATTTTTGTCATGTTCCACTCAGTCTCTTGTAGAACAAAGAATAACCATAGACATACAATGATCACAACTCCACGGTTTTCCCAACGCGACTAATACATTTCCTTAATTCGTGAACCGCTCTCCCCAAGTCACACTTTGATTCACTGAAATTTGAAAATCTGTCAAATCACAAATTAGCAAGAATGCTATGATTGGTGTGACATCTAAAAAAAGTACTACAATCTGATAGGTATGTGATACACCAAAAAAATTGCACCAATCACATTGCTTTGAGATACACCAAAAAAAAATGCAGCAATCAGATTGTTGAGAGATACACCAAATTGCGCCAATCAGATTACACTATACCAAAACACACCACTCTAAATGCTCACATATGGGTAGTTTTTTTTCTTTTTTTTAACTAACTCAATTTTTTTTGTTTGTTTTTGAAGAAATTCAAATAGTATTCTTTTTAAATCCAGTGCATTGCTTATTGATAGCCCATGCTTCATTGTGCAAATAGTATCGGACTTAAAAAGACAATGGCAAAAGAATAAATTGCCTCAGGACTATGCTAGAATATTATGGGTGTATGCAGAAGTTGTACAATCCATAGTTTTAGGTTGAAACAAAAATCACCATTGGCGACAAAATTGTTGACACATTGCCCTTTTGAACTCCCCCTGTTATTTAAAAAAATTTTGCCCTTGTTAAAGTTAACCTATTCATCCCTCTACCCCTCCCCCCCCCCCACAAAACAATGTTGTGTTGTGATTCCATGTAATTTTGTCTACATGCAGGGAACTTTGAATAGGGGAGGGGGGTTCATGTCAGTGATCTAGAGAGTGGTAGAAACAGGAGTGTTATTCTACACATAGATAAGACTCTTCAAACATGATGTGTCAACTAATTTTGATGCTGATTGTAGTCTTTTACACCTTTGTCACATAATTATGTAAGTTGCCATGTGTTCAGTTGAAAACAACTGACGGACAGACTCATATCTTACTATTTGGCTGTATGATCATATGATTAACCTACTGAGTAACCCATTCTATGATCAAATGATCAAAGCAGTTGTTGAATGACTGACTATTTGAGCCACCTTCTTAAAATTGGCGTGTCTTACTGATTATGAGTGAATGCTTGTGGACCAATTTTATAGTAGGCCGTTTTACGATATATTAAAATTCAAACTTGGCTCCAAGGCTTGGGGGAATAAAACAAAAGAAATCACATCAAGGTTGAGGATTGAATTAATAATTTCCTTTTTTTTAATTCCCCAAAGCCTTAAAGCCTGGTTAGAATTTTGATGTATCGAAAATGGCCTGTTGAATGACTTACTGACTGTGTATTGTTACTGTTATGATAGCAAAGTGCAGTACTTGAATTTTTGATAAAATGAAAAACTGTCTGACCAACTGTCGATTGACTGATCTAGTGATTAACCGAGTGACGACTGTCTAACCACCTGTCTGACTGACCCAATGATCAACTGAGTGGCTGTGTGACTGACTGACTGACCTAGTAATCGACTGAGTGACTGACTGTCTGACTGACTGACCTAGTGGCTGACTGATTGACTGAGTGACTGACAGACTCAGATGATTGATTGACTGAGTGACTGACCTAGTTGTTGACTTAGACTGACTAACCTAGTTATTGACTAACTGACTGACCTAGTTATTGACTTATTGACCGACTGACCTAGTTATTGATGTACTGACTGACCTAGGAACTGACTAATCAACTGACTGTCTGACCTAGTTATTGATGTACTGACTGACCTAGGAACTGACTAATCAACTGNAATAAAAAGAACTTAAAATTAATGTTTAAATTCCCAACTAGTTTAAGAACTATGTCTAAGTTGATTTGCAAGGTAGTAGAACTTGGCATGAATTTCCCGTCATGAAAAGGCAAGATAATTGCTTGTTTTTTCGGGTGAAACAGCATGCATTTTTAGCTCACTAAACTCGTGATGCACTGTTTTCGCTACATTCTAGGACATTTTAGAAATTGGACTGTCTTGCTGGGCTAAATGGATATTGAACTGTATACAAGAGATTGGTGACTAACAGCTGACCAGCAATGGAGTCAGCTCCACCCACAAAGTCTCTTCCTCAGTCTTGATCTGGGATGCTAAGACTTGGTCCCCAAAAAACAAAGAGAAGTGTGTGAAATCTGTTTCAGAAACTGGACTGTCTTGTTGTGCAAAATGGATCTTGAACTGTATGCAAGAGAAGGGTGACTAACAACTGACCTGTACTGGAGTCAGCTTCACCCACACAGTCTCTTTTTCAGTCTTGGTCTAGGATGCTAAGACTTGGTCCCCAAACAACAAAGCGAAGTGTGTGAAATCTGTTTTGGAAACTGGACTGTCTTGCTGCGCTGAAAGGATCTTGAACTGTGTACAAGAGATAGGTGGCTAACAGTTGATCTGGAGTGGAGTCAGATTCACCCAACAAATCTTTCTGAGATGCAAAGATTTGGTCCACGAAAAAAGGTAAAAAGCTATGTTGGGATCTGGTCTTTAATTCTTTTGTGGATTGATTGGGTGAATTTTTTTTCCAGCCATTGGAGACTACATGAGGATTTGTCTTTGATTGATACAGCAAAGTTCCACTCACTTTGCCAACAATAAAAAAAAGACATGTAAACAATAGGAGTTTCTTTGCATTCAACACAGTATTGTGCCACTCAATTTGAAAGTTACCATAAAGATTGAATATTGAGATATTATTTTCTTGTTTGTATTCCTGGATTCAAATATCATGTTAGGATGCACACTAAACAGTCAACTACACGAATGATGTATCTAATTAAAATTAATAAAATTTATAAAATTAATAAAATTAATTAATTTTTTTATTATTCTCTAGAGTAGGGCAATTTTCATTGCCAGGTTTCCAAAGTAATCTAGGCTTGTAGAAGTGTAATTTATTTCACCATATTTTGAGTCGTTTTTGACACCCTTGAACCAACCCTTGCTGGAGGAATAATGTAAATTGGTGAAATAAATTATGTTTGTTGTAGACGATACTGGGGAGGGAAAACTTGGGCTTTGTTTTGCTGGGTATGTTCTGCTGGCCTCATAGAACCCCTACCCTATTATAGTTTATTCTGTGGTTAATTATAGACCCCATCTTTGTCATATTTGGGCAAATGAAATTATTGCAAACCCAACTGCTTATACATCTACTTTATAAAGCCTTTTAAGAAGGTCAAATTTTTTAATTCCTCCAAATCAGAATTTTCCTTCCCCCAGAACCCTGAGAATGTGCGTTTCTATTCTAGTAACTCTTTTGATATAATTCTTAATACAACTCCATTAGAGACAATCCAGTTGTGAAAATGTGACCCCAACCAGTGGCACATCCCTATTAGCCTTTTACCAGGAAGTTACCCTTCCTCGGAGACGATACTAGAGACTGTTTATGCGTAAATTCATGTACTGTAGGATACTGGTAAGGTGTTACTGACATGTTTGTCATAAATGAAGGGTGCGGGAAGAAAGTCCTTTTCTGAAAACGTTGATTGGGGAATCTCCCATGATGAACTCCTGAGTATGTCTCCCTCATGAACATTGATAGGGGAATCCCCCATGATGAACTCCTGAGTATGTCTCCCCAATGAACACTGATAGGGGAATCCCCCATGATGAACTCCTGAGTATGTCTCCCTAATGAACATTGATAGGGGAATCCCCCATGATGAACTCCTGAGTATGTCTCCCTCATGAACATTGATAGGGGAATCTCTCATGATGAACTCCTGAGTATGTCTCCCTAATGAACACTGATAGGGGAATCCCCCACGATAAACTCCTGAGTGTCTCCCTAATGAACACTGATAGGGGAATCCCCCATAATGAACTCCTGAGTATGTCTCCCTAATGAACACTGATAGGGGAATTCCCCATAATGAACTCCT